CTCTTTCATTTCTGATTTTATTTATTTGGGTACCCTTTTTTTCCTGATGAATCTCATTAAACAAGATCTTGTTTATCTTTTTTATCTTTATCTGTTTTATCTTTGTCAATCTTGTTTATCTTTTCAAAGAACCACCTTGGATTTGCTGATCTTTTGTATGATTTTTTTAGACTCTATTTCATTTATTTCTGTTCTAATCTTTATTATTTCCTTCCTTCTCATCACTCTGGGCTTTGTTTGTTGTTCTTTTTCAAGCTCCTTTAAGTGTGAAGTTAAATTGTTTATTTGAGCTTTTTCTCATTTTTTGATGTAGGCCTATAATGCTATGAATTTCCCTGTTAGGATTGCTTTCCCAGTATCTCTCAGATTTTGGATTGTTGTGCCCTCATTTTGATTTGTTTCAATGTATCCTTTGATTTCTTTCTTGATCTTGTTGTTGACCCACTTATTGTTTAATAACATGTTATTTAGCTTCCATGTCTTTGTGTACTTTTCAGTGTTCTTCTTGTGCTTCATTTCTAGTTTCATAGCATTGTGGTCAGAGAAGATGCTTGATATGATTTCAGTCTTCTTAAATGTATTGAGACTTATTTTGTGTCCTAACATGTGGTCTGTCCTAGAAAACATTCCATGTGCACTTTGGAATGCATATTCCATGTATATTCCATGTATATCTTGCTGCTTTGGGATGAAATGCTCTGAAGATAAAAATTAAATCCATTTGATCTAATGTGTCATGTAAGGCCGCTGTCTCCTTGTTGATTTTCGGTCTGTAAGATCTATCCATTGTAGTCAATGGGATGTTAAAATCCCCGACTATGACTATTTCTGTTGATCTCTCCCTTTATACCTGTCAATATTTGCTTCACGCATTTAGGTGCTCCTATGTTGGGTGTGTAAATGTTTACAAGGGTTATAACCTCTTGTTGGATTGTCCCCTTTATCATTATGTAGTGTTCTTTTTCTCTTACTGTAGCCTTTATTTTAAAGTCTATTTTGTCAGATATACATACTGCTGCCCCAGATTTTTTTTCCTCTCCATTTGCATGAAATGTCTGTTTCCATCCCTTTACTTTTAGTCTGTGTGTATCTTTCAACCTGAGGTGGGTCTCTTGGAGGCAGCATATATATGGGTCTTGTTTTTTTATCCATTCAGGTACCGTATGTCTCTTGGCCAGAGCATTTAAGCCATTTACATTTAAGGTTATTATTGACAGATACGTATTTAGTGCCATTTTATTCTTAGACTGTTTTCCTCTCTCCCCCCTCCTTCTTCTTTTTCTCCTTCTCCTTAAAGCAAGCCTTTTAATATTTGTTACAGTACTGGTTTGGTGTTAACAAACTCTATTAGCTTTTTCTTGTCTGAGAAACTCCTTATTCTCCTTCAATTTTAAATGATAGCCTTCCTGAGTAAAATAGCCTTGGTTGTAGGTCCTTGCTCTTCATCAGCTTGAATATTTTATGCCACTCCCTTCTGGCCTGAAATATTTCTACTGAGAAATTAGATGACAGTTTAATTGGTGCTCCCTTGTAGGCAACTCCTTGCTTTTCTCTTGTGGCTTTTAGGATTCTCTCCTTGTCTTTAAGCCTTGTCATTTTAATTATGATGTGTCCCAGTGTAGGCCTTCAGGTCCAACTTGTTTGGGATTCTCTGAGCTTCCTGAACTTGTGTGTCTTTTTCCTTCACCAGATTAAGGAAGTTTTTGGTCATTATTTCCTCAAATAGATTCTCAATCCCTTGCTTGCTCTCTTCTCCTTCTGGTAGTCCCATGCTGCGAATGTTGTTACAGTTCATGTTGTCTGAAATGTTTCTTAAGCTTTCCTCATTTTTTAAAATTCTTTTTTCTTTTTGCTGCCCTGTATGCTTGTTTTTCTCTACCTTGTCTTCCAAATCACTGATTTGATTATCTGCTTCATTTAACTTACTGTTTATTCCTTCCAGTGTATTATTTATTTCAGATATTGCATTCTTTATTTCTGACTGGTCCTTTTTTATGGTTTTTATGTCTTTTTTTATGCTTTTGAGTATTCTTATCATCATTACTCTGACCTCTTTGTCTGATAAATTACTTGCCTACATTTCATCTAGTTCTTCTGGAGAATTATCTTGTTCTTTCATTTGGGGTCTGTTTCTTTGTCTTCCCATTTTGGCTGCTTCTTTGTATTTTTTACCTTAGATGTTAAACTAATCAATGATATAACCTCAAGCTGTAATCAGAAGTCAGGCTCAAGCACCACAGTGTGGGGCAGAGTAATTCCTGAAGGCAGGGCTATTGCTTCCCCTCAGGATGCCACTTGGAGAGGACTGCTCTGCATGAGAAAGATGGCTTCTACAGTATAGGAAATGATTCAGCACAGGGATCCTGACAGCTGTTCCTTCAGTTCTCTCCCCAGAGCCACCAACTCTAGGCTCTCCTCAATTGTCTCTAGTCCACTCTGCCCTGCTTCTGCTGGAGCCCAGGGTAAGTAGCTGTAAACAAAATTTTGTGCATTGACCTTTTAAGATGCTCTCTATGTCTCCAGTCATCTCTCCCTGGCAGACAAAAACCTCCTGTTTTCACAGCTGGGTATTATCTGAGTTCCTTTCCAGCTCTGGTGTTGTAGGCTTGGGAGCCCAGCTTGGGCTTTAGACCCCACACTTCTCAAGGGGAACTCCCTGGCCACTGAAATATCTCTCTGTAACTTCAGGTGCCACCTGTGGAAGCCCAGCCAGCCCTCTTGTGCCTACTGTGTACTCCCTACCAGACTCATTGTAGTGAAGTAATTTCTTCTGTCTGTCTTTGGTCCTAAGGCTTCTCTCCAGCTAGTGGATATTCCGAAGTTGGATATTCTGGATGATTTCTCTACAATTTAGTTGTAACTCCAGATTGGTCCTGTGAGGAGTTTAATGTAGCTTCCCCTTACTCTTCCACCATTTTAGAAATGTCTCCTGTAACATTTTAAATATATCATCCTGCTGTCTTCCGATGTCCATTAATTGTGGTAAAAAAAATTCAGCTGTTAATTTCACTCTCTTTTTCTGTACGTAAAGAGTCATTTCAGTACCAAGATTTCCATTTGATCATTTTTTATAATTGCTCTCTCCATATTAGACCAGTTAATAAATTTATACTTTCCTTTCATTTTTATTTTTCCTTTTAGTTCTTTGACCATATTTACAGTAGCAGTTTTTATTTTCTATTTTTATTTGTAACTTATGTTAATCTTCAGAAGAAAACTTCCTTGTTAATATTTCATTTTTATCCAGCAAAAAAGAGGCTGGTTTCTACCAGCTCCATTTCTCTGCAAAGGGCCACTTAACCACATAAGAAATTTCCACAAACTAATAGCAGTTTTTAGTCCTTATCTGTGAAGTCTAACATTTGCTCCCCCAGAGTTTCTATTTACTGCTTTTTTTTCTTGTTTATAACCACACTTTTCTATTTCTTTGCATGTCATAACTTTTTGTTGTTATTGTTGAAAACTATACATTTTAGATATGTTGGAGCAACCGTGAATTCCAAATCCTCCATCCCAGAGGTTATTTGTTGTTGTTTGTTTGTTTGTTTGTTTGGACTAATTCTGTAGAATCTGTCTCTTAAGGCTTTTTCTTTAATTTTTTAATTATTTTTTTTATTTTTGGCCTACTTGCTGGGGGTTGCCCTGAGTCAATATCCCTTAATGGTGAGACAATGATTCAACAAAGGTTGTACTTACATTGAGCCAGTAAGGCTTCCACCCTTTGCTAGTGGAGCTGTGGGTAAGCTGGAGAACACATTAAAATTTAGTTATTTTACAAATCTGACTGAGTTTTACTGTCTGACATGTCTTCTTTATGAATGTACAAGGTTTCACATTCATCTGGGAAAGCATAGATAGCTAATGCCTTCTCTAGTGTCTTCTGAACACTCACGGCCTTCCAGACTACACAGAGTATATGTGAGCTTATCAAGGCTGACTGTGACTGTCTTCTTCTCCAGATCTCCCTTTTAAATTTCTGGTCTATTTCTTGCCCCTACAAGTGTCAAAACCTCAAGCCCACATAAATATCTCTTGGAGCATGTGCTTCACTCCATATCAAGTTAGCCCTTTCCAGCAGTGGAGCTGCTGGTATTAAGGACTTTCATTGCCCTTTAGAACTGCTAAGTCAAGAAAAACTGGGAGACAGTGTTTTACTGTAAATTATTTCACTCAGCTATTTTGTTATTATCAAACATTAAGTTTTTATAACTTTTTGATACAATGACCATATTTTTCAAGCTTTCCTTTTTTACTATTTGTATTAGGGTTTTTTGTTTGTTTATTTGTTTGGTTTTGGTTTTTTGCCTGTCATAACAAATTTCCATGAGCTTGGTGGTATAAAACAACAGAAATTCATTCTCTCACAGTTCAAGAGACCAGAAGTCTTGAAATCAAAGCATTGTCAAGGCTGATTACTTCCGGAAGCTCTGAGGAAAAATCTATTCCATACCTTTCTCCTAGCTTCTGGCAGCTGCCAGCAGTCCTTTGCACGGCAGCATCCCTTCAATCTTTGCTTCCCCTGACACATGGGCTTCTTCCCTGTGTGTTTGTGTACCTGAATCTCCCTCTCCTTTCTGTCATAAAGGCATTGGTTATTGCATTTAAGGCACACCCTAATCCCATTTCACTTCCTCTTAATGCCTTCTAAGACCCTATTTCCAAATAAGGTCACATCTGAAGTTTCAGGTATACATAAATTTAGGGGGACATTATTCAACCCTGTATTTCACTAATTATAAAATATTACCTGAAAATCACTATGTTCTTTCTGTTGTGGGATAGGTAATCTTTTGTGAAGATTGGTTTGAAAATGAATAGAATGATAGGATGACATTTGACTTTTTTTTGTTGGGGTTGATTCTCAAGTTAATCCAGCTCACATCCTCTTTTGGTTATTTTATTCACATTGTTTAGAGAAAGGCAGAGGCTCTGTGGACAGGAAAGGGTTGGCAGAGCTTTATCCTTCTCAACTTTGACTTGCATGTCTTCTTTTAATCTAGAGCCAAATAACTATCGGACCATGCATGGCCGGGCAGTAAATGGCAGCCAGTTGGGAAAGGATTACATCCAGCTGAAGCGGCTATTGCAGCCCATCCGGATTTACTCCAGAGCCAGCTTATATGGCCCTAATATTGGGCGGCCCAGGAAGAATGTCATCGCCCTCCTAGATGGGTAGGTCAGATTATTTAGCTGTTCTTATAATATTGTTTATTAAATGTAATGAATTAATGTATTTGGTTTTTTCCTGGTTATTTTGTTCTTAAGAAGAACAGAGAGAGTCTTTCCATAGTGATTTTCCCCACGCTAAATCAGGAATTCTCCATCAAGCAGTGGAATAACCTTTCATCTCCCCAGACTTCCTACAGTCAGCAGAAGGTGGTGGGTGTGGGGTGGGACATCACCATTTCCAGGACAGATGGGAAGGTATGCATTGTTTTAAAAAGCACATTTAAGATTGCAGCATTATATAGCATCATTATATATATTTTTAAAAATATTATCTATTCTTGCATCCTTTTACAGAAAGTAAAGCTTGAGAAAATCTTGACCAAGGGAACTGGGTTAAAAAAGTTAAGAAACACTACAAATGCTTTCAGATTAAAGCAAAACTTAACCAGTAGATTAGCAGGTATCCTGGAGAATTGCTGTCATGTGACTTCTTTGATTTTGACTGAATCTAATAATCATTTTTAAAGCATTGGTTAGAGACAAGGCACTATGTTAAATGCTTTCTGCCCCAGTCCTGCTGGTAGGCTAGACTTAGATCGAATAGTGCATATAACCCATCTGTGCCAGCTTGCTCCAGTTATACAATGGCAGAGGGAATAACACAAGGAAGACTGAAGTTGTATGTTGAATTCAAGACCCAAAGTAGAGATGTAACTGGAGCTGGAAGGGTGGGAACAATGAAATTGGGAGAGTGAGGACTTCATCTGGAACAGAGTAAGCATAAAGGCACTCTTTTTATTTGGCATCTTGTTATACACTCTGATAGATATATTTATTCCTGCTAATTCAGAGATAAGTAAGACATTTTCCAATGAGGTGCACTACCCCACATTAGGTTAGATAAATGCCATGTGATTACAAGTGGAGATATCTGAGGAGAGGGAAACCTTTGGCCATCCTCCCAGATGAGCCTTGTGGCTTGAGTGCTTTTGTGGCTCTCCCCGTTCCCTTTTGTGGCAACTTAGTCTTGATCTATGCTAATTACCATCGTAGATATTACTGAAGGTTTGGGAAGGCAGAAAGACTTATACTGTAACTATATTAACAACCTGAAATTTAGTTTTAGACATTTTCTTCCTTACAAAGAATCCCAAAGCCCTTGCTTCAATTCCTGTCCTTTTCTTACCCTTTTGTTTTTTCTCAGGAGCTAATCCCCTTTTTCTTGCAGAACAATTTCATGACCTTGGCCCTAGCCTAAAAATGCAGCTCTGTGTCTCCCTTTGCAGACTTTCACTGAACTTTGAAATGACTGTATATATGTATGCTTGTGTATGTGTGTGTATGAGATGAAGTTGGGTTCACTTTACATGTTATAATTAGTGGATAAGAATCACATGTGTAGAACTTTATCCTCAATTCATAATACATAATCAAGCAAAGCCAATAACTCCATCATTTGCATCCATGTATTTATGCTTTTGGATTATCTTTTTCTTTAATGATTTGATTAATGTATTCTCATGGGGCTGACAGTGTCTTCTCAGTAGCATGATTCTGTATCAATTATTTGTTCATCCTGGAAATGTTTCTTGGGTAACTGATATGTGCCAAGTACTTTCTCAGCCTTCGTGAAGTATATAATATAGGAGGAAAGACATTGACATTAATCAACTGATCTTAAAACTAACACAATACCAAGTAAAGGTGCATGGTACTATAATGACCAAAAGGGTTTGGATTTGACTGAGTAGCAGGTCATGGAAATATTCCCTTAACAAAGTCACATATAAGAGAGAAAGATTTAAAGTGTAATCTAAATGATAAGTAGGTGTTAACTAAAAAAAGTGAACAATGAACAATATCAGTGTTCTTGGCAGAAAGAAAAGCACGTGCAAAGACACTGAGGATGAAAAAAGGTCCAGGTTGGCTAAAGAAAAGCATAGCTAGAGAAGTAATTAAGTATTATAATATATAGGGACTTACAGGCATAGAGAAGGATTTAGAATTTCTTCTAAGTCCAGTGGGAAATAGAGTGAATGTTTTAAGCTAAGGAGGGAAATAATTTGATTTATTAAACAGAAAGTATGCTGTGTCTACTCTATGAAAATAGATTGGAGAGGAAGCAGTAAGTGGGCTGCTGAAGCAGAGACAGAAAGAATGATGGGAGCCTACACTAAGAAGGTCGCATGGAATGTATTGTTGAAGATAGAATCCAAAAGTCTTGATATAGTGGGTAAATGCATGGTGATGTGACATAGGGATGTATAAGCAACTGGGTATGTGGTATTTCCATTTACAGAGATGGGAAGACTTGGAGGAGTAACTGGTCCAGGAAGAAAATTATGACTTCAGTTTTCATATTATATTTATTATGCTTGAATCTAAATGAAGATGTCAAGAATATCATTGAATGAGTTAAGGGATGAAGATCTCTGCTAGAGAGATTAATTTTGTGTCATTAGCATGCAAAAAGGATTTAAGGCTATGGGAATAAAGGAGATCTTTTAGAGAAGGTGGAAAGAGACAGAGGCTTAGGAAAGAGCCAGAGGAACTCTCACATTTAGAGGGAAAAAAGAGGAATGACCTCAGAAGTAAGAGAAAAGAGAGAGATTGAAGTGTTACAGGAGCTGAGAAAAGAGAGTTTTAAATAAGGAGGAGTGCTGCTAGGAGGCCAGGAGGTCAAGTAACAGGAAGGTAGGAAAGGGACATTGGATTTGCCAACATGCACATTGTGGGTGACTTTGAATAACACAGTTCAGTGGAATGGTGGGAACAGAAGGCAGATCACAATAGCTTGAAGAGTAAATGGGGGTTGAGGGACTGGAAACAATAATATGGACAACAATCTTTAAGAGAATTTTTACTGTGAAGGAGAGCAAAAAACTAATATGGAGATCAAGGAAAGTGATGCTGTTTTTCTTCTGGAAGACACTAGAACAGGTCTGATGAGTCTTATCCAGGAAAGAAGAGCTAGATGATACAAGAGATCAAAGATATAACCAAAGTAAGGAGTTCTTTACAATTAGAAGAAATGGCATCCAGAGGGATCAGCCTTCATTAAGTGGAGGGGTAATTCCACCAGGGTAACAGAAGGTAAAAATCAAATTATTTCTCCATTTCAGAGATTAAAAAGTCATTTTGAAGAGACACTTCCACCAGGTACATAGGTGTAGTTAGGGCATCCCAGTGTGTGTACATGCTGTAAATGTAAGCACATAGATGCTGGTTTGTTAAGAAAAAGTCAGGAAACTTGGATATAATAGTAAGTGACAAGATAAAAGAAATGTGCATGTAACTGAATTCTATGGTAGCAAATGGTGGGGTTTACTTCCCTATGCATCCAAAAACTAACAGGACTTAGGAGACTAGAGAAAATCACTTAGGGCAAGGAAAGGTGCTGGCGAGCACTTTTTTTCTTTTATATACCAGGAAATGGAGAGTTATCTTTCTCAATGTACATGTTCTAAATATACAGTGTAATATAACTTGAAACACATAAACATTCCCAGCAACTCAACCAACAATAACAAAAATGTCAGCACTCTAAATTACCAGCTCTGTAGTCTTTTCCAATTATCCTGGTGATATAGATATCATTTTACATAGTTGTGATCATTGTGTAGGTATCAGTTTGAGTTCTGCATGTTTTACCCATTGCTTTATATTGCCCTTTCTTTATTTCTACATAGTTCTCATATTTGTCATTCTTAATAGCAATAAAACATTCCATTGCATTAATATACCAATGCCTTCCCTCACTGCTGGGCATTTGGACTGTTTCCAGTTGTTGTCTATAATATACAGCGCAGCTATAAACATCTTTATACAAATAGGTTTTTTTATTTCTTTTGAATTACATCCTTGGGCTGTATTCCAAAAAGTTGGGTTTCTGGGACACAGTATGTATATGATAATGTTTATGGCTCATATATTTGATGCCAGATTTCTTTTTAGAACAGTTGTACTAGGTTGCAGGGCAGCAATGTATTAGTGAATCCTTTCCCTCAATACCCCACAACGAGTATTGTCATTTTAGTTAATTTACTCTACTCTATTTTAATTGATGCAAGATTCCCTTTGGTTTTTTAAATTTGAATGCTGTTAACTATGAAAAGAACTGAACATTTTCCAAGTCTTTATGTAGTCTCCATTCTCCCATCCCAGGTTTGGTTAATGGCAATACAATTTTGCCTCAAGCACAGACCGGGAGGCCATTTTATATTCATTCCCATCCTTTGTTCACATACTCTACCAGTTACTATTAAGTTCTATTATTTCTGACATTTTGGTATCACTCATATTCTGTCTCCTTTTCATTTTTAACCTTATCATTTTTCCTCCTAAATGATTTCTCCATATCTAGTTTCAGACTCTAATAATTGCTTCATATAGATTTCTGAGTGTTTTTTTTTAAAAAAATGTAACATGTGCTCAAATCATTCTTGCTTGAAATCCAAGCCCTTCCACATGCACCCCTGGGCTTTAGGGTCAAGTGCCTGCCTCATTTTGCAGATAGCTATATCCCCTTGCACAACCTGCCCTTAGCTATCAAAGTATACGTGAATTTTGGAAGATGCCATATACTTTTTGCCTTTGAATCTTTTTATTTTGTGGCATTTTCATTGGAATACCACTCTCTCCCCTAATTTTACTTCTTTCCAGTAGATCTCCCACATTTTTTAGGCAGGTTTTCTTATCACCTCCTCTGTCCTTGTATGGCACTTTATTTTTCTACTATACCACTTACCAAATTGATGATAACTTATTTATTTACACAGCTTGCCTCCCCTAATAAATTGCGGCTAGGATCAGGACCCAGCCTATGTTTTATTCATTCTGTAGCTTCAGAACCTAGGACTGCAATAGGTGTCTTATTCAACAATTGGCTCTAATTTCGTATGATCCAAAAATGGAATGCATTTTTGCATTCCAATGTAGTTAAATGTGGTTGTGAAGCATTTTAAAGCATTGTATAAATAGTGATTTAAATAAATTATGGTGAT